AGACCCCCGTAAATACACCCCAATAGCAATATCAATCACCGTCTATCATGCCCAACAGTAGCTACATCAATGCACTAGTACGCTCTCTCCACGATGAGAGTCAGGAGCACAACGTTGTCACGTTAAGCAAAACAGAATGGATATGCTGGACTCGGGATGACTGCGAAGATGGCAACGGTTCGAAAGAACAAGGAAGGATTCACTCCAAGACAAGTCAAGGCTGCGATGGAAGCAAGAAGTACGATGCACATACTCAATGCTCCAAGCACCAAAAGTCTGAAGTATGCGATCCGATCTGGTCTCATCAAGAACTGTCCTATCACTGAAGAAGCGATCAATCATGCTGAAGCAATCTTTGGACCTGACGCCTCTACATTGAAAGGCAAGTCAACAAGACCAACTCCAAAGAAGACGTACGACAACTTCTTCAGTCCACCAGAGGAATTGTATCAACATAATCGATCTATTACTATTGATCACATGGAGATCGAGAATGCTAAGTTTCTCACCTGCATTGATACCACTGTGCGTTATCGCTCATGTATTCCCGTGCAGAACCTCAAGACTGACCCTGTATTTGAAGCATTGGATAAGATATTCCGCCTCTATAATCAGTTTCGAAGTGATTTGGAGGCAAAGGGATTTGTTTTCAGTCTGAGCTTTATTGGGCGCTGTGACAGAATTGTCACATGTGGCCACAACATTCTCGCCTTTTACAACTTTTGACAATCTCACTGGCACCAGAGCCTTTATTGCGACAGACGAATATGACAAACCTTTTTTATACGGATCTGACAACACTTTTCATACTTCTAACAATCATGTGGACGCTGTGAGCGTATTCCACTTCACAGAATTCAAAACTGATGGCATACTCGATAAGGAATTGCTCCTTGGAAAACGAAATGTTTACTCTTGTGCATTGCGTGAAACAGTTTTTGTGGAAAGTAACCGAGAATGACAGTCGAACTAATCAACTCGAAGATGCGTTACGCGCAAGCCAACCAATAACAAGCGATAACGGCGAGTCAACACAAATGATGTCTCGCCCAAATGTAATCACAACTTTTCAATTCATCTACTTTACGTTGCCCTTCCATCAACGTATTCAAAGATCTTCCCTAAATCCATAAAGAATTCACACGCTCCCTCTGAGCTTTACATCTATAAAGCACAACAACAATGTCAGCAAACGAACGAGCTGGGAGAAGAGGTGCCCAAAGACGACGACGAGCACCCGATCGTCTGGGACAAGAAGACAGCAGCGACAGCAAAGGAGAAGAAATCCAGGCACCACCAGCAGATCCAGCTGACAATGCAGCAGCCCCCGCCGCAATCGACAATGCAGCAGTCCCTGCAGCTCAAGAAGGGGCAGCTGCACCACCACAACCACGTCAAGTCCAATTTGCAGCAAATGTCGAAGCACCTCAAGGCGCACCTCCAGCGCAAGTACCTCCGCCTCTAAATCAACAGATAAATATAGGAGCCCTGAATCAAGCATTGGCCGCCATGCAACAGCTTACACAGCAAATAACACAGCAGCTTCAACAACAACAACAAGCAGCTGCTCCACAGCAACCAGTACCAATGCAACCAGCTCCAATCATGGCACAACCCCAACAAATTCCCCCGGTGCAACAACAACGAAACCAACCTCCTATGGCTCTAGTTGGAATCTACGGACAAGGAGTTTTGACACCACCAACAAGAGGACACCAAGACGCACTAGATTTTGTTTCACAAAAGATGGATCTGAGCTATGCCGGCGACAAACCTGGAGCGAACTCTCTCCTTCATCACCTGCAAGACAAAGCTCGACAAGTCAATCTATATGAAGTATTTGAAGTGACAACTGCACAAGGCCAGGTTCTGAATCTATTCGATCACTACCTCTCCATCTCATTACAACAAGTGAAAGCTGCAGCCATCGCCCGATGGAACACCAACACTTGGAATCGACAAGGATCCTACATGCTCTCACTGTCACTATTAAAGAGCCTCTCAACGAGCTTTCATACACACATCATCAGCCACAAACCCAAATACTCAATGCAGTCAGGATACAGTGACGTTGCCCTTGTATTAAAGACAATTCTGTCCCAAGTGTTTCCTACCACCACGACTGGAACCAACAACGTGCTCACACAACTAAGTCAGCTTGACATCAAGGACCATGAGAACAACCAATTGAACTTGCATCAAGAATTCAAACGCCTTGTTGGAATCATGCACGCAGCACCTGATGGCCTTGCTAGCATGAACAAATTGATGCAACGATTCTATTTATTGGAAAGCTACAAAACAATCAAATGCGACGCCTTTACCATGTTTGTTTTGCAACAAAAGAATCAAATGAATGTTCCCAGCATCGACAAAATCATGGACCAATCCGAACAAAAGTACGTGGAATTTGTTGACGAAGGGCTATGGAACAAAAGCCCAAGGAAGAAGTCATCGTGGCACTAAAAACCGAAAATAAGCTCCTAAAGCGGAAGAACCACAGCACACGAGACGCTCTCCGCAAGAAAAAGAAGGCCGCCAAATCAGCCAAGAAGAAGAAAGGAAAGAAGCAACGTGGCACAACCGACGACAACTGGATCACCACACCTCCATCACCAGGAAAAGAAGACAAACCCATTGAAAGAGACGGCAAAGAATGGAACTGGTGCATCCACCACCAAAAATACGTTGTTGCAGCCGGGAATCGACAACAAGGTCCACATTCTTCAGCCACTTGCACCCTGAATCCCAAGAACCAAAAGTAGAAGGGAAAGAAAACAGTCCAAGTCAATGCAGCAATCGACTCCGAAAGTTACTCCAGCAGCAACGAAGGAAGCAGCACCTCTGAGACTGAAAGCGAAACAGAATCCAGCAACTGAAAGGAACAATCGTCCATCCACACAAGCTTTATACTCCGCCCACAGCCGATACGTGCACTCCACACTGCCTTTGATGTGGACTCTTGCCCAATAGGAATCGACACTCGCACTTCGGCCACCGTAAGCGGAAATCGGCACCTGTTCATCGGAAAGTTGACACCTGTATCACACATGAATCTCAAGGGAGTTGGAGGAAAGCTACGGATCAAAGCAAAAGGAACGATGCGAATATCGTTCTATGACAATGGAGGACAACTACAGACCTATCACGTCCATGATGCCTACTATGCTCCCAAGCTCCAAATCACTCTCCTATGCCCTCAACAATGGGTTGAACAAGGTCCCATTAACAAAAAGGGAGTCTACGTCCGAGCATGCCATGTTTCAGCCCGGCATACAACACTTCACTGGCCTGGAGGTCATAAAACCGTTGACCACGACCCGACAACTTGACTACCTATCCTCCACACTGCACCAGGATTTAACGAATTTGGGACCTACATGACGCACCTTAGCTGCAACGAGGCACGACTTCAACCTACTCCCACATTGTTCAGAGAATCTCTCATTGACCCAGCAACAATACCAGTGGCGGGACCACCAGTTACGGACTCCACGGAATGTGACAAGCAACTTCCACTTCCAACACTCATTGACAGCGATCTACATTTCGATCTGGAAGAGGCAACTGCAGCCGACCACATCACCAACTTGAGCGACCTCACCGAAACAGACAAGCACACCATCATGCTACGATGGCACTATCGTCTTGGACATACGCCCTTCCCCCAACTCAAGCAAATGGCGAAGTACGATCTCCTTGACAAACGACTTGCCACAATTCAAGAATTCCCATTCTGCCCAGGATGTCAATTTGGAAAGCAAACTAGACGAGCGTGGCGCCATCGGTCCAACAAGAAACTTCGGCGCTGACAACTACGAAAGGCAAGAAAACCTGGTGACGTTGCATCAGTGGACACCATGAACTCTGTCAGTGTCCCCGGTTTAGTTGCCCAACTCCGCGGTCGAGCAACGTTAGCACGATATAACTATGCCACTGTCTTTGTTCACCACTTCAGCGGCATCGGCTACGTCCACCTGCACGAATACAATGACGCCGAAGCTGTTGTCGAAGCCAAATCCCGTTTCGAACAATTTGCCCAATCTTTCAACGTTGGGATCAAGCATTATCACTGCGACAATGGGATCTTTGCCGATAAAACCTACAAAGCGGCATGTGCCGCAAACAACCAAAGTATCAGCTTCTGTGGTGTCAACGCCCACCATCAAAGCGGAATCGCCGAAAAACGCATCCGTGACCTTCGAGACTCGGCCAGATCCATGCTACTCCTTGCCAAACACAACTGGCCCGACGCCATCTCCACCCACCTCTGGGGATTTGCGATGAATTATGCCTCCACAATTCGCGCCTCCACTCTTCGAGAGGGAGAAACGAGAACACCGCTCCAGAAATTCGCCCAAACCTCCGAACCACCTCCAGTGAACCGTTTCCACACCTTCGGATGTCCGGTCTACACACTGGACCCTGACCTGCAGAGCGGCAACGCACAACCCAACAAATTGACAGATCGATCCAGAGTCGGAATCTTCCTAGGCTTCTCCAGAGAACACGCATCCACAGTGTCATTGGTACTTAACCCAATCACTGGACTGACATCTCCCCAATTCCACGTGAAACATGATGACAGATTCGAAAGCACGAAACATCCTATCATGAAAGAAGCAGGGAAATGGCAGGAAATCACCCAAATTCATCGGGTGAGAAAGAAGAAAAATCAACGAGCACCGATTCTTCAGAGGGAGCTTCCTCAACAAGAGGTTTCTCAGAGGGAGCTACCCAAAATCAACGAACTCTATCCACTTGAGGATCCACAAAATGAGGATCCGAATCCATCGGCAGCGTCCAAGCAAGGACCACAAGGTACTCTCAATCGCGGAGATTTGCAGACCCCTCCTACAGTCCCAGTAGACAAGGAGGCAGACGAATCGAGAGCTCCAGTTCCAACAACAGGTCGAGATAAAAACGGAACGAAATCTTCCTTGGAACGGCAAAAGCAGCAGCATCTGCAGCCAGAGGAAGTGAGGGCGACTTTACATGCAAAGATTAAAAGACAACAAGTCAAGCGAAAATCCAAGCAAACCCCCCAAAAGAAGTCCAAAAAGAGAAAGATCCAAAATGGATCACGCAGCACTTCGACGGAAGACGTGATAAACGGTGACAGCATCAGCGGCAACAACATTCCAGAGGGAGCCAAAGCACCCTCAAGCACTCTTTCAGAGGGAGAAGAATCTCCAGAGGGAGCCAGAGCACCCTCAAGCACTCTTTCAGAGGGAGAAGAATCCCCCACGCCAGTTCAAAGAAGCGCCATAACTGCGGCCACCATCCTGGACGAAAGAAGGAAAGAAATGAAGTTGGCGCTCCACACCTATTACACTTCCACAGCAAGACGGATCCATGCCGACGAAATCGCGGATGAGTCCATCGCCAGCAACCCCATGGCCTTCTCTGCAACCCTCGCAGACGAAGACACAATGTATCTGCATCAAGCTCAAAAGCAGAAAGATTGGAAACAATTCAGCAAAGCCATGGGAAAAGAAATTCAAGATCATACCGAGGGAAAACATTGGGAAGTGATCGAGAGAACAAAAGTGCCAGAAGGACACAAGATAATGCGTGGTGTTTGGTCTATGAAACGAAAACGACGTGTTGCTACCGGACAGATCTACAAGTGGAAAGCACGACTTTGCGTTGACGGAAGTTCGCAAGAGAAAGGAGTCAACTTTTGGGACACATATTCTCCTGTCGTAACGTGGGAAAGTGTGCGAAGCCTGCTAACTCTGGCCATTATGAACAAATGGACAACGAGACAAATTGATTTTGTGTTAGCCTTTCCCCAAGCAAAAGTCGAATGCCCGATGTACATGGAAATTCCCCAAGGCTGCAACGTAGATGGAAGCAGAGACACCCACGTGTTAGAACTAAAGCAAAATTTATATGGGTCCCGCCAAGGATCTAAAATCTGGTTCGATTTCACTTGCAAGGGATTACAAAAACGAGGTTTCAAACAGTCGAAAACAGATAAAGCGGTTTTCTACAAAGGCAAAACCATTTTTATCCTATATGTTGACGACGGAATCTTGATCGGTCCCAACGCAGGCAAAATTGATGACATCATCAACTCTCTCCAAAAAGACTACAAACTAACAGACAAAGGCGACCTCAATGAATATCTTGGAATCAAGATGGAACGCCGCAAGGATGGAACCAGATGGCTAACACAACCTACCCTGATCAAACGGATCCTCAAAACGGTCGGAGTCAACGAACAGAGACCACCTGGAAAACGACTCATGCGCACCCCAGCGACCAAAGTGTTACACAAGGACATCGGTGGACCGCCAAGACGACACAATTGGGACTATCGCTCAGTTGTCGGAATGTTGAACTGGCTAACTCGTTCCACTCGACCAGACCTTATCTTTGCAGTTTCACAAGTTGGACGATTCATGGCATTGCCAAAGAAATCTCACGAAAACGCCATCCTTCGTATCTGCCAATATTTGCGTGATACCCAAGACAAAGGAATGTTAATGCGCCCTCAACGAACGGGTTTCCAAGTCTATGCCGACGCCGACTTTGCTGGCGGATTCGTCAAGGAACACACCGCTGATCCAAACACTGCAAAATCACGGTCCTGCTACTTCATCATGTTCAACAATTGCATGATCTTTGCACACAGTAAACTCCAAACTGAAGTCGCACTGTCCACTACTGAAGCCGAATATATCTGCCTTTCACAATCAATACGGACCGTCCTGGTACAAATGAGATTCTTCAAAGAGATTGCAAAACGCATAAAATCCTTTCGCTATACCAAACCGGTCATCAAGTGCACGGCCTTTGAAGATAACAAAGGAGCCATCGAACTGGCAAAAGCGCCCAAGCTACGGCCCCGAACGAAGCACATCAACATCAAATATCATCATTTTCGCGAAGCAGTTGCGCACGGTCTAGTGAACCTCGAACATGTCGACACAGGAGAACAGTTAGCCGACATTGGCACCAAACCACTCGATGGACCCACATTCGAATATTTGCGACGACTCCTTATAGGTTGGTAATGCCCGCACTCAAGAGGGAGTGTGGAAAGTAACCGAGAATGACAGTCGAACTAATCGACTCGAAGATGCGTTACGCGCAAGCCAACCAATAACAAGCGATAACGGCGAGTCAACACAAATG